GTACGAAACTCGGTGTTTCGGTCCTTCTCTCCTCCTCTCTTTCCGGTCCTTAGTTTCGAGGAGCGGGTCTCGGACCCTTTAGGTGAGACTGGGAGTCTGACCTTTTCCTTAAAAATCGAATTTCGAACTTTTCCTGAAATAAAGTGACAAATTATAGTCCGATTTCCTTCCAAATTTTAGGAATTCTGAAACCGTCTCCGAGCCCCACCTGAATAGTGGGGCCGGGTGTGAGATCAATTTCGACTAAATCTGGAACCGGACTGGTCCTCAAATGAAAACCGTTCAAATGTTCATTTCTTCCATAATTTCCACGGGACCTCTTCCAAAATGGACGAAAACGTCCACCGAGGTGTTCCCCGACGAAATCCGGCCGTTTTATTCGAAAGGGTTTCGTTCGTTTTTCTCCGGAGAACGGAACGAATCGGTCCTGTTCCGGACTCCCGACTTCGAGCGTCTGAAGTGCTCGAAGTCCTCCGATTCTTCCGAAATTGGCAGGGACGCCCTGGGAGGTCTCTGCGACCCCGTGGAGTTCGAAGGGATCGGAAAGGAAGGGGCCGAACGCAGGGCGGAAAGACGGGGTCTGTCCTCGGTGTTCCCCATCGCCAGGAGCGCGGTCGTCTTTTGTGGCGATTTTGACCCCTGAATATTTCCGCCTTCTCGAAAGGGCTCTCCGACCTCCTCACCCTAATGTGTAAGTTCGGGGAGCGGCCGACCAGCGAGTCCCTCCGGGAACGAAATGGCACCCTTTTTCGCTCCGATTTCCGACCTGTTCGCGATTTTTAAGCGTTACGGCTCGATTCTTCAAACTCAGATTCGGTGAGGCTCCGTTCCCTCTCGAATCCTCGTTCGAATTTCGAGGAGCGAGGCTTCACCTTTTTCCCGGAAGGGTCCGGTATTTTCCCAGAAAAATCCGAATTTCGACTTTGACCCAGGAATTACCCCACCGAATACGGACCGATTCCTTTCGAACTGGCACGGAGGTACGTCGAGTCCTCTCTCGAAAGTGCAAAGTTTTTCGGGGAGTCGAAACGACCGCCTCGGCTCGGAAGGCTCGGGGTCGAAATTGAAGAAAAGGTCCGCTTTTCCGCTTCATTTTCTCCACCATTGCAGCCGTGATTCCTTTAAAAACCGAAAGGTGGTCCACTCGGACGCGCTACGGAATCTGTCGATTTTCGCGAAATCGAGAGAGTCGGATCCGGACCGGGAGTGGCTTCGAGTCTCGCAGTGCAAAACGGCGAGTTTCACTCCCGCTGAAACGCACTCTCGCGAACTGCTGTTTGAAACGAACGCATCGATTCGCGAGTGCGCGTGTCGGAGATCCCCGACGCCGAATTTCGAAAAATCCTCTCTTTTTATTCCACCTGAAAACGGACCCGAAACGATGTAAGTCGAAAATCCGGAGAAGAATCGTTCGAAATGGTTTTACGGTGAGAATCGTATCCGAACGGAGGACGTTCTTTCCGAAAGTTTCTGCGTCGGGGTTTTCCGCACCGCACCGCCACTGCCACACCGCGCCAGCGGTGGCGGCACTCCCGAGGGATGCGCCCTCCTCGAACGCGGGAACCGTTCCCCGCGTTCTCCGCCTGAAAGACCTCTTCCGAAAAACGCGGAAGGGTTTTTCCAAACTCCAAAATTCCAGAACGAAAACGTATTTCTCCCGAAATCGAGTGGACGTCCTGATCGGGGAGCGGGGAGAGTCCCCGGTGTCTTCGATTGACCTGCCGCGGATCTCGACTTCCCGTCTGGAAAACGGTCTGCTCTCGACGGAGTGAAAAAGATTTCCTGATTCCGCCCTTCACTTCGATCATCGCGAGGAGCGGAGGAAAGAAAAACATTTTCCCGAGAAAGGCGTTTTGGTGGCTCGAAAGATGGCGAGTTTCACCATGACGCGTTTTCGAAGGAGACGCCTGGATCTATGAGTTCTGAGTGCGAGATCGCGAGAGGAGAAGGAGAGCGGTTTTGTGGAAAACAGTGCTGGAAAGTGTGAAAAACTGAAAATAAAAACGGTGATAGTCAAAGGCCAAGTAACCCGGAGAAAAGGCCTCACGTGTCCCACCCCTTCCCGAGTGTCGGAACGCGGGGGCTGTTTTTCCCGAAAATGAAAATCCAAAAATTCGAAAAAGATAAAAACGCCACCCCAGTGTCGGGAGGCTGCAGGACCTCGGCGTCGAAAATAAAAAGTTGAAAAAGTCCAAAAAAAGGAAAAATCGGGAAAATCGGGAGAAAGGTCACGTGTCCCACCCCTTCCCGGGGTCCGGACCGCGGGGGGGAGCTGTTTTTCCCGAAAATAAAAAATTCCAAAAAATTGGAAAAAAACGTCAAAGTCCCCGAAATGGGGTGCCCAAAAAGGCAGAAATGCCGCCGGGGGCCAAGTTTTTCAAAGTCCGAAAAAATTTCAAAGTCCCGAAAATTTTCAAAGTCCGGTCACCGAAATATTTTCTAAGTCCCCACATCCTATGTTTCGATTCAGATCCCTTGTGTTGATCCAGATCCCTTGTTTCGATCCAGATCCTATGTGCGAATCTCGGTATTTTTTCTAAGTCCAAAATAATTTCTAAGTCCCCAGATCTCTTTGGACTTTGCCAAAAAAAGGTCCAAAATCCACCGGAAATAGGCTTAGCGAGATGCCGTCCAAAGTGCAATGTCACCTTACGACGACGCACGTTCACCACACGACGCGGTAGGCTTAGCCGCCCGAAACATGCCGCACCAACCGTCGAGGGGTGTGTTTGTCCGTCCTCTTCCCCAACTCCATTTCCCTATATAGGGAGCACCTCTCTCTCGAATGTTGCAGAACGCGATTCTGTGTTCTGTGCACTACATGAGTGTTGAGGAAGCGCGTCGTGTGTGAGATCGCTCTGAAGCCCTTCGAGGGTTTCTATCTGGTGTTTTTGAGCGATTACGACGCGCTTGTGCTAAATCCGGTGACTGGTCCCGCCCGGTTGCTCCCTGGCCTCTGGCGCCCCCCTATCCAAGGGGGGGGGTGCCGCCGCGGGTCGAGCCAAGCGACTCGCGGGAGGCGGTGGCTCGCCGGCGCTCTCGTACAGGGAGGGAGCGTCCGGCGAGCGTACGGATGGAGACGTGGCTCCATCCGGCGAGGGGCGGAGCTGCCGGGGTGAGCCGGCGGCCCGCGGGGTCCGTGGGGACCGGAGGGTCGAAGGCACGACGAATGAGGAGTCGCGGGTGTTGCCCAGCGCCCGCGGCCGGATCGGTTGTTCTAGCTGACGATCCGAAGCACTAGAGAGTGAGCGGGAGAGGCCGGTTTGATCCGGCGGCCCGCGGGGTCCGTAGGGACCGGAGGAAGGAAGGATTGGCTCAGAAGGAGTCGCGGGTGTCGCCCAGCGCCCGCGGCCGGATCGGTGTTTATAGCGGACGATCCGAAGCACTAGAGAGTGAGCGGGAGAGGCCGGTGCTATCCGGCGGCCCGCGGGGTCCCTCGGGACCGGAGGAAGGAAGGATTGGCTCAGAAGGAGGCGCGGGTTTTTCCCGAGCGCCCGCGGCCGGATCGGGGTTCTTGCCGACGATCCGAAGCACTGGAGAGTGGGCGGGAGCGGCCGGGGTCCCCCGGCGGCCCGCGGGGTCCGTCCGGACCGGATGAAGGAAGGACGTGCTCTACCGAAGACTGCGGGACCAGGAACCTCTGCCGAGTGTCCGGGAGCGTGGAAGGGGACCGGTGGTTCCCCCGGACCGAAGACTGGACCGAAGACTGGACAGGCTCGGGGGTCCGTAGACAGCGGGTTGGCCGGCGGCCATTAAAGCACCTGCCGAGGACTTCCGTTTCCATCACTCGCGCGGTCGAAGAAGGTGGGTCGTGCCTCGTTCGAGGAACGTAAAGGAACCCTCCCAGGCCAACGCGGCTCGTTCCGCGTCGAGTCCCCGTTCGGGGGCTCGCTCCTCTGGCATCGGGTCGGCGTGCGCGCGCGCCGTAAAGGAACCCGGTCGTCGAGCGTGCGGACTCGTTCCGCGTCGAGTCCCCGTTCGGGGGCTCGCTCCTCTCGCATCGGGTCGGCGTGCACACGCGCCGTGAAGGAACCCGGTCGTCGAGGGTGCGGACTCGTCCGCATCGGAGTCCCCGTTCGCGGGGGGTCGTTCCAACCTGTCTTTGCAATTGCGGGCGCCGCCGCGATCCTCGGGTCGCTGTCGGACGCGCCGCGATCGTCGAACCTGTGGGGTCTGCCCGGTAGGGGTGTGTCTCAGACCGCCACCTCGACTCCAGCTGCGAGCCGTCCCCCTCGGGGGCCGCTCTGCCCTATCGTAAGTGGAAGGCCAGTAGTTGATCCTACCGGTACGTAGAATGAAACACAGACCAAGAGAGGGCGGCGGTACCTCTGTAAAAAATTCCGGCCGGTGAGAGAGAGGCTCTGCCTCGGAAGGTAAGATTGAAACACGGACCGAGGGAGGGTGGCGGTACCTCCGTAAAAATTCCGGCCGGTGAGAGAGAAGCGAGGCTCTGCCTCGCGAGGTAAGAAAGAGAGGATAACTGGTTGATCCTGCCAGTAGTGATATGCTTGTCTCAAAGATTAAGCCATGCACGTGTAAGTACAAGCCGTCAATAGAAGCGAAACCGCAAATGGCTCATTAAATCAGTTACGGTCCCCTTGGCGGTTGAGATTACTTGGATAACTGTGGTAATCCTAGAGCTAATACATGCACTGGAGCTCCGATCCCGCGAGGGAGACGAGCGCTTTTATTAGACCAAGACCAGCCCGCGTTCGCGCGGCAGCGACTGGTGACTCTGTATAACCTAGGGCGGATCGCACGGGCTCGTCCCGGCGACGCGTCTTTCGAGTGTCTGCCTTATCAACTGTCGATGGTAGGTCATGCGCCTACCATGGTCGTCACGGGTGACGGGGAATCAGGGTTCGATTCCGGAGAGGGAGCCTGAGAAACGGCTACCACATCCAAGGAAGGCAGCAGGCACGCAAATTACCCACTCCCGGCTCGGGGAGGTAGTGACGAAAAATAACGATACGGGACTCTTTCGAGACCCCGTGATCGGAATGATCGCAAGGTAAAGAGTGTTCGAAAGGAACGATTGGAGGGCAAGTCTGGTGCCAGCAGCTGCGGTAACTCCAGCTCCGATAGCGTAAGCTAAATTTGTTGCGGATGAAAAGCTCGTAGTCGGATCTCAGCCCGGGACGGTGGGGCGCGTCAGCGCCCCTTCCGGTCTCGCGGGCTCTGGCCGTTCACCGAACCGCGATCTTAACCGGTCGTGGCGCGGGGTCCGGTCAGTTTACCTTGAAGAAACTGAAGTGCTCAAAGCAGGCCTGTCGCCCGCACAAGGATGCATGGAATAATGCAAGAGGACCTCGGTTCTATTGTGTTGGTTTTCGGAACCGGAGGTAATGATCGATAGGAACAGACGGGGGGCATTCGTACTGAGACGCTAGAGGTGAAATTCTTGGACCGTCGCAGGACGAACTACTGCGAAAGCATTTGCCAAGAATGTTTTCATTGACCAAGAACGAAAGTCAGAGGTTCGAAGGCGATCAGATACCGCCGTAGTTCTGACCGTAAACTATGCCAGCCAGCGATCCGGTGCTGTTTGAGAAAGGACACGCCGGGCAGCTTCCGGGAAACCAGAGCTTCTGGGTTCCGGGGGAAGTATGGTTGCAAAACTGAAACTTAAAGGAATTGACGGAAGGGCACAACCAGGGATGGATTCTGCGGCTCAATTTGACTCAACACGGGAAAACTCACCCGGTCCGGACACGGCTAGGATTGACAGATTAATGGCTCTTTCTTGATTCCGTGGGTGGTGGTGCATGGCCGTTTTTAGTTCGTGGGCATGACCTGTCTGGTTAATTCCGATAACGAGCGAGACTCTTGCCTGCTAAATAGGCTGTTCCGTGATGTTTCACGGAGAGATAATCTTCTTAGAGGAACAAGCGGTTTCGAGCCGCACGAAAAGGAGCAAAAACAGGTCAGTGATGCCCTTAGATGTCCGGGGCCGCACGCGCAATACAATGAAGGCGACAGCGTGTGCTTTTTTTCCCTGGCCGAGAGGTCCGGGCAACCCGTTGAAACGCCTTCGTGCTGGGGATAGGGGACTGTAACTGGCCCCTTGAACGAGGAATCCCCAGTAGGCTCGAGTCATTAACTCGTGCCGACTAAGTCCCTGCCCTTTGTACACACCGCCCGTCGTTAATACCGATTGAGTGGTTCGGTGAGGTCTTCGGACCTGCGCCTCCGTTCCTTCACGGAAAAGGGGTGTCGGAAAGATGATCGAACTCGATCACTTAGAGGAATTACAAGTCGTAACAAGGTTTCCGTAGGTGAACCTGCGGAAGGATCATTGAAAACAATATGCTTGTCCCCGGGGCTCGGGGCCTGCCTCGAAACGAGCTTCTCCCAGACTCCGGTCGAGGGTGTGCTCGGAAGGCCCTGCGTTGAACGGAGCTCGCTCCGTGTGGCGGAGATGTTGGCTGCTCCGCCCGAGACGAAGCGACGACCCGATACTGGTTGATGGAAAAATAGCTAATGGCGAATGGTGATGCAAAGACAAAAATCTAAGACTCTTGAAGGGGTGGGTCCTTCGGGACCCCGTGGCTCGGAGACCGGAGAACTCTTCTCACGTAGAGGAGGCATGCGGCGGCCGATCTCCATGGATCGGGTGCGGGTTTGGTGTTGGGAGAGGCGGAAAAATAAAGGAATTGATAGGATAAAGGAATTGATTGGATAAAGGACTCCGGATAGGCGAGGCGTTGGTGATCTCATGCGGGGGCAGGGGGTCGTCCGATGCTGAGCCGGTCCGGTGTCGTAGTGGATTCTGCCTCTCTTTCGTCTTCCCGCCCGGGTGCGCCGTGGCCGACTCGAGGTAAAGGTCTCGTTGAACGATGCTTCCGACCCCACATACTGGTTGATGGCAAAATAGCGAATGGTGGTGCATAAAGACTCTAAGGGAACTGAGGGGCGGCTGTGCCCCGGACTGGTTGATGGAAAAATAGCGAATAGCGAACGGTGGTGCATAAAGACTCTAAGGGAACTGAGGGGCGGCTGTGCCCCAGACTGGTTGATGGAAAAAATATTTGAAGACTCTGGAAGGGGTGGCTCCTTCGGGACCCCGTGGCTCGGAGACCCGAGAATCCTTCTCACGTAGAGGAGGCCTGCGGCGGCCGATATTCAATGATCGGGTGCGGGTTTGGCGTTTTGAGAGGCTGAAAGGAATTGACGAGATATTGGACTCCGGATAGGCGAGGCGTTGGTGATCTCATGCGGGGGCAGGGGGTCGTCCGATGCCGAGCCGGTCCGGTGTCGTAGTGGACCATTTACTCTTTCGTCTTCCCGGCCGGGTGCGCGTGCCCACTAGTAAGTGCTCGTTGAACGATGCCTCCGACCCCAGACGGAGACTGACGAGAGTTCAAAAAAAAGAAAGTCGCCTGGGCAGGCTGGAGGAGCCGAAGCGACGACGCACGGTAATGACCGAAATGGAGGCCCATAATTTGATCGACCGGATGAGTGGGAGAGCCTGGGCCGGGCGAAGCGTGCCGGGTGCGGCGGTGGTGTCCTGGACCGGCGGAGGGAGGTCGGGGAGCGAGGTCCGTGCGGGGCGAGGGGCGGGCGTGCCGGGCCACTTGGCACCGGGTGCGGGCGTGCGAGGTGTCGGCGGTCCTCTCGGGGGCTTCCGGTGCCGAGTGCGACTCGCATGCTGGTTGTCCGGAATAACGGCGCGTGGCGTTCTGAGTTCCGTCGAGTCGTCGTCTCTTCCTTCGAATCCTCTGCCGTAAGGGGTCATAACCTCCGAGGAAGGAGTCTCGTTCGTGGTGCGACGACGTTTCCGGGTCGACGCCTCCTCCGTGGGCTGATGTCGTTGTGGATCGGAGCCTCCGGCGGGTTCGGGTGGCTCGATTATTTTTTTTCCCGAATTTTTCCAAGTTCCCGAGTCTGGTGGAATATGCTATGATGCCGTGTGCCGTGATGATTCGAGTCTCCCGCTGGTTCGGGGGGCTCGAGGATTTTTTTTTCCAAAATTTTTACAAGTTCCCGAGTCTGGTGGAATGTGCTATTGTGCTGTGATGTGGAGTCTTTCGATGAGAGTGGAATATGCTATGATGCTATGTCTTTGAAAGAGAGTGGAATATGCCATGATGCTATGATGTGGAATGTTGTGGTCGTCGCCGAGTCTAGATGAGGGCGTACCTGATCCCGGACCTTCGAGGCCTAAGGGGGTCTGAGCTCCTCCGGGGGCTCGGGCTAGGTGCGAGAGCTGCACGACAGAGTGCACCGCGCCCCACTGTACTAAGTCCCTAACCCCACCGATTCGAACTCTGAACGAAATTACTATGACAACTCTGAGCAGTGGATCACTCGGCTCACGGGTCGATGAAGAACGCAGCTTGCTGCGATAATTGGTGTGAATTGCAGGACACATTGAACACCGAACTTTCGAACGCGCATGGCGGCCTCCGGTCTTCCGGGACTGGAGGCCTCGCCCGTTTGAGGGTCGTATGAAGCCCAGACCCATTGAATTCTCATGGGTCAATTGGCCGCGTCGGGTGAGAACCCGTCGGCTCAAGTGCGAAAGGAATTCTCCCGAGCTGTGGGAGCAGTCTCGAGTGGCCGGTGTCCGGGGGAGCCTTTCCCCCGCAGGGCCACTCTCCGGTTCGTCCGGCTGCTCGCTTGAGACGTTCCCCGAGAATCGGGAGGAGGTACCTTAAAACCTTTGAATTGTAACGACCTCAGACGGACGAGACTACCCGCTGAATTTAAGCATATTAATAAGCGGTGGAAAAGAAAACAACAGTGATTCCCCTAGTAGCGGCGAGCGAACAGGGAGGAGCCCAGCGCCGAATCCCCGCCTCGAGCGGGGAAATGTGGCGTTTGGGCGAGTCGGGAGTGTGGATCTGGAGTGCGCGGGAAGTCCCCACGATCGGGGCATTTTCCTGAGAGGGTGTGAGGCCCGTTCTCGCGCGCCGTGGTTCCCTCTCGGTTCGCCCGCGAGTCGGGTTGCTTGGGAGTGCAGCCCTAAGACGGGTGGTAAACTCCACCCAAGGCTAAATACGACCGTGAGACCGATAGCAAACAAGTACCGTGAGGGAAAGTTGAAAAGAACTTTGAAGAGAGAGTTCAATAGAACGTGAAACTGCTCAGAGGGAAACGGGTGGGCCCTCGAAGTCCAGTGTCGGGGGCGTTCAGGCCCGGTGTCGTCTGCCTCCGCCGAAGCGAGTGAAGGAGCGCCCCTCACGTGGGGGCGCCGTCCTCGCGCCCAGGAGGCGGTTTGGCCCGGGTGCACTCGTCCCCTTCCAGAGGACGCCGCACCCCGTTCTGCTCGGCGGGCCGTGAGGGCGGATACTTGCATGTGGACTCCGAACTTTTTGGATGTTCCGATCTCTTCCGCCCGGGCCCGCGGCGGACGGTGGCATTGAAGACTCGTCGCCTCCTACTTTGTTACTCTGGGTGGTGCCGGTGGGTTCTAGGTTAGCCGTGCGCACGCTCTCCGGGCGTGGCCGGTGGGCCCCCTCGCCGGCGCTGCTTTTATTTTTTCCCTTTGGAGGTCGACGGTGTTGCGGCGCAGTAGGTCGGTGCCCCACCCGACCCGTCTTGAAACACGGACCAAGGAGTCTAACATGTGTGCGAGTCACTGGGTCTCGCAGAAGCCCACGGGCGCAAACAAATTAAACTTCTACTCTTCGTAGTGAGTCGGGATCCCCCGCATAGTTGCGAGGGGCGCACCGACGGCCTGCCACACTCCTAGGAGTCGAGGCGGAGCCTGAGCACACACGTTGGGACCCGAAAGATGGTGAACTATGCCTAGACAGGACGAAGACAGGGGAAACCCTGTTGGAAGTCCGAAGCGGTTCTGACGTGCAAATCGATCGTCTGATCCGCGTATAGGGGCGAAAGACTAATCGAACCATCTAGTAGCTGGTTCCCTCCGAAGTTTCCCTCAGGATAGCTGGCGCTCGATCGAAATTCAGTCACGATCGGTAAAGCGAATGATTAGAGGCCTTGGGGCCGAAACGACCTCAACCTATTCTCATACTTTCAATGGTCGTAGAGTCCTCCTTTCTCGATCGAAGGTTGGACGGTGGATGAGAGTGCCTAGTGGGCCACTTTTGGTAAGCAGAACTGGCGCTGTGGGATGAACCAAACGCCGGGTTAAGGCGCCCGATGCAGAGACGCTCATGAGACCCCATAAAAGGTGTTGGTTGCTCTAGACAGCAGGACGGTGGCCATGGAAGTCGGCATCCGCTAAGGAGTGTGTAACAACTCACCTGCCAAAGCAACTAGCCCTGAAAATGGATGGCGCTCCAGCGTCGAGCCCATACCCGGCCGGTCTAAATCGTACTCTTTATTGTGATTAGACCGAGTAGGAGGGTCGCGGCGGTGGCGTGGAAGGGCGTGGCGCGAGCCTGCCTGGAGCCTCCGCCGGCGCAGATCTTGGTGGTAGTAGCAAATACTCAAGTGAGAACCTTGAGGACTGAAGTTGGAGAAGGGTTCCATGTCAACAGCGTTTGCACATGGGTGAGTCGGTCCTT